TAGGGTCAAAATTATTAGCATCTTTAAGCAATTTTTTTTGATAGTCTACAGAACAAACCATCATTATACAATAACTTGCCTAATTACCCTAGCCTGCCTAGTTAACCTAAATAACCTAGTTAAGTATTTAAATGTCACTTTAAGCTGTATAGAAGTGTCTTGAAAAATATCTAGTCAAATATTAATTACTGTCATCATGGCAAAGAGAAAATAAATCAGTTATTAGAGATGAGTTATTAAAACTATTATGTTTAGAAATGGGTTAAAACAATCTTCTCTCCGTTAAACAGAAATTGGGGGAGAAACAGGGGAGCTAATAATTCTAACTTCAATGTATATATAATTTATGAATTTACATTAAACTAATAAATACTGCAAACAATTATCATGTTAGCTTATGAAAAATAGTGAATGTAATATTATTGTAGTATAATTTTTTTTAAACAAATTTTGATTATATTTTTAATAAACCTTTATTTAGTTTTAATTTATCTTTGCCTTTTGCATTGGTTTTAGTATTACTCATTTTGAACATTTTTAGTAGGGTGTCTTATTCATTTTATTTTTTTTATTAGGTGTTATTATTGTTACCTTGGTTTATCTTCAATAATTTAGTACTTTAAAAATCTATACAAGCAAGAAATTAAAAACTATTTGTAATTTTTGTCTACTTAAAGTAATTCAACAACAGAAGTTAAGCCAACACTAACACTTGTTTCTCCAGACAGCTTGAATGTATCAAAAGCGCTTTATTAATCTGTGAGGATCAGTCGGCTTGTCAACCTTTCTAAACCCTCTCTTATTCATTCCTCTGCCTCTCTGATCCTTGACCTTCCCTTTACCCTGTGTGTTTAACCCTTGACCTCTGACCTGTGGTGACGGCAGACAAAGCGGCAGTGTGTCACTGCTGAACAGTCCACCATCTTTATGCTCTCCCAGACCTCCAGCAGTGTCAGTTTTTAAACTGAGCCGGAGGTGAACTCTCTCTCTGCATGCGTGTGTGTGTCTGTGTGTGTTCGTAATCCGTCAACACACAACAGGGTCATTAATAGCTGCTATTCCACTGTCAGACCAGTGCAAACCCAGGGCTTACTCTGGGGTGATTGGGGCCAACAGTCATTCAGCAAGGCCAAAATCATGCTGTGTTTCCACTGTTGGACCAGTCGCACCTCTAAAAACTGCCATTAACACACTTTAGTGGAACAAAGTCATTCATCAGCAGGGAAAATGAAAGGAAACATAACAAAACAGACATAAATGTTTGGTCTTCAGCATCAACAAAGCATATGACTGGTCATTTACGATAATACCAGTAATTTGTGACAGTAGTGCAGCTCAGACAAACACACATGAAAAAATGTGTTGCTGCCTTCGCTTTCTAAGTTGAACACAATTCATTTTACATGCAAAATTTCCTAAAACTTATTCAAAATGTAATCAATTAAACTGACTTGAAACAAAAATTTGCAAAGCTTTAAAAAAATCTAATTGAAACCTGAACAAATGTTGTCATGGCTTACTGATATATTTTTAATGCGAGTATTTATCATTATTTCACAAAAAAATTACGATTTTCACTACTTTAGTCACTAATTCTTTGTATTCTTTTATTTAGGATCCAAAAACTACACCAAAAATAGATTGAACACATTCAGAAATATACTGATGAAATTTTATATGCTTGGATCTCATGATTTTATGTTTAGACCGAATGAGCACAGTTTTATTTATTCTAACCATGAAATTATTCTCAGAGGTTTTTGTCACTTTATATTGTTGTATCATTTTATACTATCATTATTATTTAAGTGAAAGCAACAGAAGGGGCTCGCTCACTAAAAACTAAACTGTAAAATTCATGTATTTGATTTCTCATTAAAAAAAGTGAGTAAATCTATTGCTTTTGAAGTGAAAAGTTGACTTTACCTAAAAAGTGAGTATACCCATTGCCTTTAAAGTGACAAGTTGACTTAAAAAGTTAGTAAACCCATTGCTTTTAAAGTGACAAGTGAGTAAATCAGTTACTTTTAAAGTGATAAGTTAACTTTACTTAATAAATTGAGTAAACCCATTGCTTTAAAAGTGATTAGTTGACTTTAAAAAGCGAGTATACCCATTGCTTTTAAAGTGACAAGTTGACTTTACTTAATAAATTGAGTAAACCCATTGCTTTTAAAGAAATAAGTTGACTTTACTTAATAAATTGAGTAAACTCATTGCTTTTAAAGTGATTTGTTGACTTTCCTTTAAAAAGTAAGTATACCCATTGCTTTTAAAGTGATTAGTTGACTTAAAAAGTGAGTAAACCAGTTGCTTTTAAAGTGACATGTTGATTTTACTTTAAAAAGAAAGTAAACCCATTCCTTTTAAAGTGATTAATTGACTTTAAAAAGTGAGTATACCCATTGCTTTTAAAGTGACAAGTTGACTTTAATTAATAAATTGAGTAAACCCATTGCTTTTAAATTGATTAGTTGACTTCAAAAGTGAGTAAACCAGCTGCTTTTAAAGTGATAAGTTGACTTTATGTAAAAAAAATGAGTAAGCCCATTGCTTTTAAAGTGACAAATTGACTTTCCTTAATAAATTGAGAAAACCGGTTGCTTTTAAAGTCATACATTGACTTTCCTTTAAAAAGTAAGTAAACCCATTGCTTTTAAAGTGATTAGCTGCCTTTACCAAAAAATGAGTGAGCCTGTTGCTTTTAATTAGTTTTCTGAATAACTCTTTCTGAATGCTTAAGTTCCATATCAACAAAGGCATAGGGAAGATACAGATTTAAAAAAGCAACCAAATAAATACAGGATTACAGTCATATTTGATTTGTTTAAGTTCAAGTAGTATTTTCATATGCATAGTATGCAATTATTATAGCAAGTGTTAGCATAAGTAGCCTTTAGCATCGCACATCATTATAGTTCTCCCTCATGGTGATTAGAATCAATATCATATCACAATCCGGAGTTTCTTTAGACCTAATGTTTGAAAGCAAACTGAACTCTTTTTAAATGTATTAAATGTTGCTGTTAGCTGCTAGCTAATTTGAAAACATGAGGAATTAGCAGTGCTACCAACCACATGAGGCCCAAGACTAGGTCTGACAAGTAGAAACTAGTACGCCAATAACACCGGCTCGAGAACCCTGTGGTGTCTCCGTCATCTTCAAGTCTTCTATGACCTCACCGCATGCATGAAATGTGCATGTTTCTATTTGTAATGTATGTTGCAGATCTGAAGTTGTGTAATTGCAAATGCGTTTTCTGCTGCTTTACTTTCTGTTCCAGCAAGTCAAAACATTGATCTGCGATGCTACAACTGAGTCTGTTTGTGTGTGTGATGTTTCACAGAGAATGAGGGCTGACAGGATCTTTGACAGGGTTGAGACAAACATTCATGATTCTCTGCTAGATGGGGTTCAGAGCACCACTGAAGCCTAGCAGCCCGATGGTAAAACACTAAAGACTAAAGCCAGAAAGAACTAATCCACACTCCGCTCATAAATGCAGCTCTGGACTTCTCAGAGTCATTCTGAGAAGTCTAGAGTCATGCTAATTGGCTTCAACCAATGAAAAGGAGCTGGATTTAACGTCTTCGGTGCATCCGTGTGGGTCTGGTGTTTGGTGTGAAACCTACAGACTGGTTTGGGTTGGTTTTGAAGCTTCAGAATAAAAAGATTGGGTTGTGGTTTGAGGTGTGTGCTGTGATGTATATGCAGCTAAGAGAATATGGGACTGTGGGCTCTTACATACACAAATACAGCCAGCAGACTTGACATACCGTTTAACGTCTAACTCCCATACATGCATGAGTATTTTTTTTTTTTTGCTTTTCTTGTTGTTATATTGTTTTAAAGTGTGTGATAATGTTGCCATTTATGTCTAAATGTCCATTCCTAGAACATGCTTATGATCAGTTCTGTTACTGAGTGAACCGCACAACATCTATAAACAACTTGAAATGATTATGCTGGATTGTAAACTTAAAGGAAAGGAGCAAGAAATTGTTTTATAGTTTTAAAAATGTCTCTTAAATGTTTTGAATTGCCAATTTCGCCAATCAATAAATCAATGAATGAATGAATGAATCAATCAATCAATCAATCAATCCATCAATCAATCCATTCATCAATCCATCAATCTATCAATCAATCTATCCACCAATCAATCCATTGATTAATCCATTAATCTATCCATCAGTCAATCAATCAGTCAATTAATCAATGAATGAATCAATAAATACACCCATAAATCCATCAGTCAATCTATTAATCAATCAATCTATCCATCAATAAATCCATCAATCTATCTATCAATCAATCCATCAATTGATCAATCAGCGCATCAATCAATCCATCAATCTATCCATCCATCCATCCATCGATTCATCCATCAAACAATCAATCCATCCATCCATCAATCAATCCGTTAATCAATCCGTTTATCGATCAATCAATCAATTGGCTAATCAATCAGTCAACCAATTGACCAATCAATAAGTCAATCGTTACCATATAAAAAATACACTCAAAATGTTTTGATGATTTATAGTATTTAAAAATTTGGAAACGGAATCCACTTAATTAAATCTTGATATAAACTATTGGTTTAAAGGTTTAAAGCAAATGAAATTTATTTTTCAGTCAGTATCAGTTTATTTTATCAGCTGATATATTGCTGATATAGTGTTTATTCCATTTTAAAATAATGAATTAGTCATAATTTTTTATTATTATTATTATTGCTTTTTGCAAATTTTCGCTCTGCAGTTTTTCATGTAACAGATCCTCAATCGATCAGTTAACATCTTCTAGGCCTGGACTTGTGCATGTGGTAAACTCTGGATATGTGATTTCATATTAAGTTGATTTTATGCTTATTTTTACACCGCTTCTTGCTGGGGCTTTGAATTTGTGTTGTTTTAGCTTGTGCTGTGACAAATTTGTATTCCCATACCTATACATGACGCAGTCTGCTAACTCACCATCTCCCTCTGTTCTCCAGAATGCAGATAAGTTATATAAGGGCCACCTGTCGGAGTTCTCCCCGCTGACCTCCCTCCATGCTCCACCTGCGCGGAAACACGAAAGACGTGGCAACGAACGCCAGAACCACGCCCACCGCAGGTCTGACTCCTCCCCTACCAAAAAACTCATGTGTACCTACTGGGGGGGCAAGCCTGACTACTGCACCTTCAGCTCCTTCCTCCGAATAGGAGAAAACCCACGATTCTCCGGGGCAGCTTATGCTTATTCTGCACCGGGGCCCGAGACGTCTGTATGATAAACAAATAGTCTAATTATTCAATCAAAATCGGCCTCGATTATGCCAATATTGGTCTCCTAATCTTGACTTGTTACCCTTTATTTAAAAAAAAAGAAAACACTGACATGCGTTTCTATCCACTTGTTTTGTTGTTTGCATGTGGAATACCAACACAATCTCACAGCAATTGGTAACTTTTTGATTTAGTGGCTAATTTGAATGAATTCGTACAATCTCAGTTGTACAATTTAGTATAATTTGCTTATGGCCCTATGACGATTGGGTTTAGGGGCGGGGTTGGGTTGGGTGCCATGCCTCCTTGTTAAAATCGTACATTTTTGTATGATTGAACTTGTAAGAAATTAATACAAATTAGCCACTCAATTGACAAAACGTAAAATAGTTACGTTTGTTTGTGAGATCAGCCTGGGAATATTGTTTCCGGGTCCAGGCTTCAATTCATTTTAGTTGTCAATTTATCTCAAATCTCAATATTCGTTTGGTTAAATTATTTTTTTTCAATGTTATGGTTTACTGTAGTTGCTGCATCCCAGATATCAATATTTGAACGATTTATAAAAGATAAATCATTCCACCTGAAATTAGGCACGGATATAAACATTTATGCTTATGATTTTCAATAGTATTACAGCACACTGTGAGCATACAGTGGGGGAAATAAGTATTGCAAATGTCACCATTTTTCTCAGAAAACATATTTCTTAACTTGAAATTTTCACATCATTGATTGATGTTGGTTACAACCAAATAAATCCATAAATGTAAAGAAAACAATAATAATTAGTTTACAAATTAAGTTAAGTGTAATAAAATTAAATGACGCAGGGAAAAAGTATTGAACACATGAAGAAAGGGAGCTGTAGACAGGCAGAGAAAGCCCAGACAGCAGTTAAAAATCTCTCAGTAGATCTTCAGCAACCCTCTGCCCTTCATCATTGTAAATGAATATTAGCTGCTTCAGACATCTACATCTGTACATTAGCAGGATGATAAAGATGAAACCAGGGTGGACATTTCAGCAAGACAATGATCCAAAACACAGCCAAGGAAACTTTAAAAGTTTTTCAGAGAAAGAAAATCAAGCTGTAGAATGGCCCAGCCAATCATCTGACTTGAATCCAATATGGAATCCAAAATAAAGATCAGATTTGACACACAAGACCCACAGAACTATCAAGAGTTCTACACTCTGTTGAAGTTTGTGAGAGGCTTCTGTAAGCTGCCATCAGCAAAAAAGGTCTTTTATATAAAATATTAAATACGTTTCAGTAGTCCAGAACTTTCATTACATTGTTATTACACAAAAAAAAAATTGTCAGATTTTTTAAATTTTTGTTTTGTTTTCTTATATTTTTGTGTTTGTATTGTTTGGGTTTTTACCAAAATCTGGTTCAATTTCATGTCAACAGCTTTTTTAGAACATTTTTACCAAAAAATGAAAAAAACGAAGAAAAAAAACATGACATGTTGAATACGTATTTTCCCCACTGCATTAGTACCGTTTATTGCAGATATAAGTTTTGGATCCGGAAACACTTGTTAAACACTAACAAGTGGATAGTGTACGCACTATCAGTGATTTTGTGATCTGGAGGAAGGCTAAACAGTACTGCGCTAAGCGGCCTTCGGACCCATTTACCTTGTTTTCTTGGTGTGTATGTTTAAACGTGAGAGCGTGTTCCCTTTACACTGTGGGTTTATGTGTTCACTCACCTACCCTTGTATAAAAAAATACTTGAAAAACCACACTGGGCAGTAGTAGCACAAATCTCAAATCTCAACCCCCTAGCACTGAATATGAATGTGGATGACAGTTAAAATGGCTGCTCTGAAAACTGACCGTCCTCTTTTCTTTGTTCTTCTTTTCTTTGTTCTCTGTCGTCTCTCCTTCCCTTTTTTATCCCGTGCTCCTTCTCTTTTCTTGTCCTACTTTTTTTATAGAACAAACTGGTGTTGCCTTTGTGCAAACCTATTATCAAGAAACACTCCGTAGGCTTCGATTGTCTTTGTCTGAATGCATTGTAAGTGGCTACACTTGGCCATTTCTGCTGCTAGAGCAAACTAGGAGTGTGTGTCTGTGTGTGTGTGTGTGTGTGTGTAGGCCTTTGTTAGACAACTACAAGAAGACAAATTGTAACTGGACTGTCATTATGTTTCACCCTTTAACTTTCAAAAAAATCTATATTCTACTATCTGCTATTCCAAAGTTTTTAAAAAACCATTGACGTCGTGTCATCATGACAACCAGTTACTCTGTTCTAGCTGCTTGACCATTTGCTTTAACGTTGGATCGTTCCCTATATATAGTTTTTGTAGTGTAGAATCAGACACAGGATGCTAAAGGCTGCGCTAGCCACCTTAGCGAAACTGTTCTGCCTTAATGCTAATGTTTCCCATCTTTTACACCGCAGTTTGGAACCAAAGGTTGTAAAATAGGGAGTGTATAAATGTGCATTAGTTGCCTTATGCTCAAAGAGAGAAAGTGTTTGACGGCATTAGAAGATTCCCACCACACTGCCTTAAGTTGACATTGCACCAGCTGAGGATGGAGTTATGTGGAGAAATGTAGTATTCGTCATCTTCCTGTGCCACCAACTCAGCCCGGGGCTCCTGAGGTTTGAAAAAACAATGAATGAAATGTCACATGTGTTGGTCCAAAAATTATCTATGTCAGTGTATTTTTATGAAAGTAACGTCTTATTTGCCTTTTGTCTGTATTAATGTATCTGTTGGAGCCCTGTGCTGGGTTGCTCTCATCTCTGTGTTGAACATTACTGATTATCTGATAAATGAGGCACATGTTATTAGCTTGTGCTACTTTTCACAAACAACTTATTAATCTAACATCCTTATTAAGGTCAGCATCACAGATGGCCTGTCCTTACTGATGAGAAAGACTCCTTTCTAGTGTCCTGGACACAGAAAATAAGCCGTTTTAAAGGAATTCTAGGAAATGTGCCTCATACATGTGGACTCTCTTGTTTAATGTAACATTCTCATAATCATTCAATTTCATATTCATCCAATACACTGTGTGAATATGAATTCACATTGATTTGAGCTTAATTTGAATTGGAATGGTGTGAATGCAGTTGAGTTCACACTTGTAGTTTGATTCCTTTGGTTCTGACCAAAATATAAATAAATAAATAAATCTTATGCCAAGGTTAGACTGCATGCTTTTAGCCCTGGTTTTGATTCAAATCATGCTGTGTGAAATGTGTTCTGATTGAAAATAACATTCGCGATCACCTACAGCCAATAAGAGAGCAGCATTCACTAGTACACTAATCAGGTTGAGAAGTAAAAAAAAAAAAGTCGAGGAGAGATTGCTAATTCTCAAAAGCCAGGTGAGCAACACAAGTTTCTAAAGCTAAAGCTATTTTTCCATTATGTAGTTAATAACAAAAGATATATTATGTGACCTTGCGTTGTTTCCATGTCACTTCTTGCGTTTGTTTGGTTGTGAGACGTAGTTTGGACAAAGTTGTCTGTGATTCTTCCTGTTTTAAAGTCATGCAAGTGTGAACTCTCCTGTCGCCGATCCATCCTACAGTGTAAACACAGCACTGACAGAACGTTAACCCAGATAGTCATGCAGTGTGAAAACATCCGTGACACGACTACTTTGAAAATCATGCAGTCTGAACTCGGCATTAGGGTGCTTTCGAACTAGCACTTTTGGTCCGCACCCCTGTTTGTTTGACGCCAGTGTACGTTTAGCTAGTGTGAACAATATTTTCTGAACTGGGGTGCACACCCCTGAACGATACCAGAGTCCACCTGCACCTCTTATATGAATGCAATCGTACCAAATGACTGAAGTTACCCGCCAAATGTACAACAGACTTTAGTTTTCATAACGTTCATTCTTGTGTGTATGTCTGTGTGTAAACTACCTGGGCGACAAGTTGGACTGACCCAGTGCAAACAGTGATAATGTCTGCTTGACTCCACCAAAAGCGACTTTTGTTTTACTTTTTTTTTTTTTTTGCGGCAGATAGACACAAACGTCTCTCTGTATTTTTGTTTTGGTAACAAAAGCAAAAGATTCAGTTAAAGCTGAATGACCATGATATGCATATGTCTCCATTTTGCCTCTTTGCTTTCGTGGCCGTCAGCCAGCAACAGCTGTACAAAAAAACAGCAGCTTGATGACACAAGCGTAGCGGGGTTCAGAAGGAAAAAAAGACAGTGTGAACACAAATTAGCCGAGAAGGTGGCAAGGGGGGACAATCAAATTTGGGTTTGGTCCAGGCCAATGTAACCAAGTGTGAAAGCTCCCTAAACCAATTCTAGGAAATGTTCCTGGTGACTCGTCTGTTTCATGAAACATTCAACTCCATATTCATCCAATACTCTGTGAATATGAATTCACATTGATTTGAGTTCAGTTTGAATTGGAATACGGTGTGAATGCAGTTCAGTTTAATGTTGTGTACTTATACTACGTTCTAAAAGAGAGCATGGACGGTTCTTCACTTCGAATTTTTACTGGGAATAGTACACCATCCAGGAACCTTTAGCATACTTTTTTCCAACATATTACAGTTTGGGACATACAATGCTAATTTTATTTTCAAATACTATTTAGGATAGATTGTATGCAAAATTGGATGAAGCATAAGTGTGTTTTCACATTTGTAGTTTGATTCTTTGGTTCAGACCCAAAAAAAGAAAATGATTAATTTAGTCTTGGCTCACTTAGTGTTCACACTGTCAATTTTAGGCCTGAATATAATGAGTGGTATGGTTCAGTACAGTACAGTACAGTACAGTACTATTTGCTATGAAAATCCCTGATCAGGCTTTAATTTCTACTGCCAACAGTATCTTTACTTAGTAGCAAGGCAGAAAAAAAGCTATCAAGTCTTGCCTGAAGAAGAAAGCTATAAGGAGCCATTCACGTGTAGTGTGTTTTGCAAGCTCAAGTTCGTTATTTCCAAAGTAAAAGTGCCGCAAGTGCTCGCAAGTACTCAAATTAGATGGCGAAAGTTGCGCTTTTCACACATTTAAGATGCAACATGTGAATGGTAATCAACCCTGGCTTTTTAAACGTGCAGGTGACAATTTTCTGTAAACCAATCAGGAATCAGTAGAGAGTCTAGCTCCACCCTTTTTGTAACATATTCTGTTGTGCTAGCCACCCATATGAAAGGGTGCCAAAAAA